TCTTCTCCATGGGTTATCCTCAAATTCTGCACACAGGACCCCTTCCATCTGAGGAAAGGAGGTCAAACCAGCCCTATTCCTAGGGTCCTCTTCTGTTTCAGCTGGTCAATGTCCATCAGAGAATATGCCCCACAAAGATCTCCCTTCTGGGAGACGCCTCAGGCAAATAGGGCCAGCCCTGAGCTGAAACAGGTTTTGGCAGCTTCTTCTCTGCCTCTCTTTTCTCTCCTACAGCTTTATAGCTAGAGCTGGCTTGATTATCAATATTGACTTTGGCTGGCTGGCTTGGTTACCCAAAAGGTATTTTGCCTTAATTTCCCAGATGACAGGTAATGCTGCCCTCTCCCGGTACTATTCAGCAGAGCCCCCTGGATTTGAAACCAGGGGCTGCAGCCTCAAATCCTGCATCAGAGAAGTGTCCCTCTGGTCTCATCTCCTTACCTCTGCTTTTCTCCTATCTTAATATCTATCCTTTTCTTTGAAAGGTGGTTTCTTTTTTCACTCCCTCCCCTTCCTTGGCTTGGTAAACCAGTCCCTAATCTCTTTTCACCCCAGATTGGAAGGTGTGTCCCTCTCTGACACGCCTTAGAGTTATGATGGTCTCTTCCAGGTTTCCATAGCTCCATTGCTCAACCGTTTGCCAGGGGTAACCATTAACCTAGCACTTAACTCACTCCCCAGCTTTCTTGCTAGAGGGGATTTTCCAATCATTGTTTAGCAGAGCCAGATTATCCCACCATCTTCTCTAACCTCTTGGATGGGATCCCCCCATCTCAGGGTACCCTGGACAAAGTTGGGGAGGAGGATATATTTTTTAAAGTATATACTTGTTTATTTCTGTCCCCCTCACAATCTTCTCACTTACCCTCCCGTCACACACACTAAAAAGTAAGTTTCATGAAGCCCATACTTAATTAATGTTCAGTACTTTGGGTCTGCCACCTGACCCAGAATAGGCACTAAATAGTTGCTGAGTGAATGAATAACACCCCTCTGTACTTAGGGATGTGGGTGTGTGTGCATCCGTAGGAGGGGTACAGACATGTCTCAGCAGGAGTGTAGCTGTTCTTATCAGGTCTACTTCTCTCCACCAGACTTTGGTGTAATTCGAACGCTTCCACTTCCTTGTGAGAGACAAAAATTATAATTGAGACCCAGTAGTTCCCTCGTTGGGGTGGTAATACCCTGAACCAAGGATATAGGCAAAAGAGGACTAGGATAGGAGTCTTGCTTATTTCTGTTTATTTATTTAAAACACGTGGCTTTTACTAAGTTTACGAGGCACTATTCTAAGCTGTTCATAAATACTAGTTCAGTGGGTACAAATATTAATTTAGAGTTGTTGGTACAGGTTTAATAATGTGCTTATCTTCGCTCTCCGGAAAAAAAAAAATGCAATTCGCCTCTGCCCCTTTAGGCTGCTCCCCCCAACCCGCCTAGACCAGTTAGTTCTGTAGGCTCTGACTCAAGCTCCGCTTCCGACTTTCACAGGCTCCACCCCGCGTCAATCAAAGCCCAAACCGGGAAGGCCTAAGGCCCGAGTGCTAAGCAACGGCACAGGCGGCGGGAAGTTTGAACGTTCGGACACCGCCCCATATGCGAATAGACCAATCAGCGTCCAGCCGTCTTAGCAACAGCGATCCTCTCCTCCCTCCAGTCCTGTCGAAATCTTAAGCAGGATCCGGATCTCTCCGGCCAATAGCGGCTTAGAGGGGCGGGGCGTGTGCGCGCGCACCCCGCCCCCACTCAGGTGTGCCTCTCTCGCGGGAGGGCGGCTCTTAGTGACGCGGTTTCGCGCACGTAGCTACCCAGGTGACTGAAAACGCGGGAAAGTGCCGCGAGTTTCCGCAACTGGGGTGGGAAGCCGAGAAGTTAGGGCAGCGATAGTGGGGGAGTTGGCAGAGGCCGGGAGAGGAGACGTGCAGACTCGGCCCTCAGGGCCCTCCAGCCAAAGTACAAGCCCCGGGTGACCGGAATGTGGGTGGGGCACGTGGGGTTTTGCAGTCTGGACTTTGGTGATATACCTAAGAAGTCGCCCGTCAAAATGTCCGCAGATGTTAAAAACAAAACGTTACCGCATCTCTCCCCGGCCCTTGCAGCCCTGCGCCTCAGCCCTCTCCCAGTTCGGGTGGATTTGCGTGTCTACGCACCCCCTATCCCAGCCTCCTGGCGGTGAAATCCCGCTCCTGAACCGTCTTCGTTTTCTGCGCCCGCAGAGCGTCCAAGGCCATGTTCTCCGTAGGAACGATCCCAGGCGGGACGCCGCAGAGCCCGGAGCCGGGGGCAGCTTCGGCCAGCTTTCCCAGCCTGGCCCCAGTGTCGGGCCGTGGGGAGGCTGAGGAGGAGGAGGACAACGAGCAAGAGCCGGCGGAGGTCTCTGGGGCGGCGGTGTCTGATGTCTGGTGGAGCAGGCGCTTGGATCCTGAGAGCAGGGAGTTGGTTGGAACTTCGGGATGTTAGAATCAATGGGCTTGGAATAGCTGGCAGGTCACTTGCCTCTGCTCTGTTTGACACTGACTGAATGGGGACGATGATACTTATCTCAGTCAGGGATTTGATAAAATGATTAAAATTAAGTAGGACATGGCATAACCCTACACTTACCAGCAGTTTCCTTTCCTGTCGGTTTCCTTTCTTCTTCCTGGGATAGATCTATCTGTGTGCGCTGTGGACTTCAGGATACTTGGGCATCGCCTACTATGACACTAGTGACTCTACCATCCACTTCATGCCGGATGCCCCAGACCATGAGAGTCTCAAGCTTCTCCAGAGAGGTGGGAGCAGAACCATGGATTCCTCTACTCTGAGACTGGAAGTGTATTTCACTCTTCTATCCTTACCTGTCTCAATTTATTTTATTGACTCCCAGAAGTTCCCCCTGTTGTTTATAGGAATTCATTTCATTATTCAACACTTATTGTTTATAATGTATCAGGTGCTGGGCAAATCAGTCATGTCTGTCCTGCAGGGCTTTGGAGTCTAGTGACAATCTCCAGGTCACTCTTCCCTCCTGCCACCCTGCCAGTCTTCTCATTCCTCAATCTCATGCCTGACTCCTACCTATGCTCCCAATGTGCAGAGCACCTCTTACTTTTAGAGGGAGGAAAAGAGGGTGCGTTTGTTTGTTTGTTTGTTTGTTTGTTTGTTTTGGAGGGAGTAGAAGGAAATAGCAAGGGGAGGCCTTATGGATACCCCCTTAGAGGATCCTTTTACTCATTTGGTCTCCATTCTTCTTCCAAGTGTTGGATGAAATCAATCCCCGGTCTGTTGTTACGAGTGCCAAACAGGATGAGAATATGACTCGGTTTCTAGGGAAGCTTGGTAAGGACTGGGTAAGGGGAAAAGCAAAAATGGGAAAGGAGTGAACTGTGGAATATTCCAGGAGACTAAAGGGTCTTGGAGGAGCAACAGCCAGGAGGCTAGAATTGGGTGAGAGGGAAGGTGGGACAGAGGCAGAGGACTGAGATGTTCAGACTCATGGCCCTTTCTCTGCTTCCCCCACAGCCTCCCAGGAACACAGAGAGCCTAAGAGACCTGAAATTGTATTTTTGCCAAGTGTGGATTTTGGTACTTCCTTTCCTTTGCCCAATTCCTCATCCCGTTTTTCCTACCCCTTTCTCCTTACTCTACTTGAGCTCCATCAGAAGTCTCTCCTCAGCCTTATCTTATCCTAACCCTTTGTGTTCTCCAAGTCCCATAAGCAGTCTCCTCAAGATCTCTCCTGCTCCTTACCCTTTAATAACCTGAAACCTTGTGAAGTTTCCACATAGGCGTGTCTAGGGATGAGGGCCTTCCCTGAGAAGAGGAAGTGGTGACACTTTGTGGATAGCTTTGATTGTTGGGATTTTTACCTTTAAGCCAAACCCATTTGTCCCTTAAAAAAAAAAAAAATAGACAAAACCTTCTCAGGTTTGTAAAAAGTTTTACAAAACCTTCCCAGGTTTGTAAAAAAGATAAGGAATGTTCTATTCTACTTAGATATTAAGACATTAGTGTTATTCATTCCTCTATTAATATGATCCTTTGACCCCAAATTCCAAATAGATACCTTAGGAATAGATATTCTGAATCACTTGTCTTTCTCAGGTTGTGCTCTCAGCCAAAGATCTTTATATTCTAGGTAAAATAAAGAGATAATTAGACTAAGTCTGAAAATTTGGTACATTATTATTAGTATCATCATCATCATCATTTTATTTTGAGAGAGTGTGTGAGCAAGGGAGGGGCAGAGAAGGAGAGAGAGAATCCCAAGCAGGCTCCACGCCGACAGCACAGATGCAGGGCTCAAACTCGAGCTCTGAACCATGAGATCATGATTTGAGCTGAAACCAAGAGTCAGAAGCTTAACCAACTGAGCCACCCAGTCGCCCCTGAAGATTTGATTCTTGTTTCAGCTTTCCATTAACTGCCTGTGTAACTTGGCAAGTCACATCCTCTCTCTTGCTTCTATCATCTCCTTCTTAAAATGGGGTGAAAATTGGGCTACAAGACCTTTCCCTTCCCTCTCATGCTTCCCCCAAAATAGGTCTGGAGATAAGCAAACAGCGCCTTCTTGCTGGAAACTACTCCTTCATCCCAGACTCCATGACCACCACTGAGAAAATCCTCTTCCTCTCCTCTATTATTCCCTTTGACTGCCTCCTCACGGTAGGAAGGGTCCTGGGAGATGAGGGCTGGTTGGAGAAAGGGACCAATACCCATTCCTAGGGTTGAGTCCTGGGAGGTACTAGTCCAATCCTGGAAAATAATAGTTTTCTCTGGTGTTGTCCAGCCTCCAGGACATTGGGATTTACCTCAACTCCATTACTGATTTCCTCCCAGGTTCGAGCACTTGGAGGGCTGCTCAAGTTCCTGGGTCGAAGAAGAATTGGGGTTGAACTGGAAGATTATAACGTCAGCGTCCCCATCCTGGGCTTTAAGAAATTTGTGTTGTAGGTGATTTACCCTAACCTCAAGCAAAGTAAGGTGGGATTGGGAGGTCTTAATAGCAAGAC